AGACAACCTACGTGGGTCGAGACGCACGCCTTCAGGGTCGACAACACGTCCGCACCACTTCAAAGTTGGAGTGAAGAACGTACTCTTCCGTACAGAGACCTTCAGATTACGTTCGCGGCACGTTGTCAGAAACTTACGTAGTTCCTTCAGAAGTTGCTCCTCGTTTGGTGCATGAATCGCGAAGTCGTCTAGCCAGGCAATGAGTGCGTGCCGCATGTGATGGAAGCACGGTTCCACTCGGCTTTGGAAGTTTGCGGCGCTATTCCGTGCTCCCTGTAACGTTCTCGTGGGCATGACACATGCCCGAGTCGTCATGAATGAATGGTACGCTTGACAACTTTCGTCAAGCGGTAGTTGCCAGTACCCCGACACGAAGTCGATAGCGGCAAAGAATCGGGATTCACGTAAGTCTCCGAGCTCGCTCTCGATATTTGGCATCGGCCATGTCATTGGCTTCGTTGCCGAGTTGACTGGTCGTAGGTCAATTGTCAAGCGGAATTTCGCCGGTGGTGCTTTAGGCACTACGAGCGGTGCCGCCACCCAATCGGCCTCAGTCGACAGTTTGAGGAATCCGTATTCCAACAATTTGCCTGTGACGCGTTCGAGGAATTGACGTTTCGCCTGTGGGTAGCGACGTTGTGCAGCCCGAACTGGGCGTGCTCCATCCTTCACCTCAATGATCATAGGCTGTACGTCAGCCGGTGGTCCTTTTCCAAGGCGTATCCGGAGGACGTCTGATAACTCTTGGAGGATCCCGGCCAGTGTGGAGCTTCCTTTCTCCGATAAACCGTTATCGACAGCTTCACTTATTGCCGTTCTTACTGCTCTGTCCTTCTCTTCCGTCTCGTCTTCGCCGAAGTCCAGCCAATTTTCGAAATCGTTGTCGTATTCGTCCACCCCTCCGTTTGAGTGGAAGACACCTTCTTCGATGATGCGCGAGATGCGGCTAGGAATGGCTCCATCGTTGAAGCCTAACTCAGCGACATCCACTTCGCCACCGAGACGATCCGCCGCACGTGCGAGGATGTCTCGGGCGTTCAGACCAATACGCTCGAGAACCGGCCTGCTGAGTAACGACTCCGTGCATGTCTGTTCCGTTACCATCCACTGAACGTTTCGCAGTACTAACGTTGTGCCATGTCGTATGTGCAATTCAATGGGCATCACTGCCGTCTTACCACATACGATATTGACCGGCTCAGATGTTTCCGAGTTTTGTACTGCCACGTTCTACACGCGTTGGTTCGGTACATTCTGGACGGCAACGTTACCGCCCTCACGCACGATACGCTCGAGTAGGTCGCTACCCATCAGATTGACGTCGGCCCCGATGTCCGCCGTCACAGAATCGCGAGTACGGCCGGCATACGTACATGCGAATATGACGCTGCTCTCGTCGTGCGTAACTTTGTTTTTCCTCGTGACACGTTTAGCGGAACGTTCTACCTTATCGCCTCGGTTCCTCTTGAGCTCCTCACGGTGGGCATCGAGAAACTTCTTCTTCTCGTCATCAGGGCATGAACGACAGTCCATTATCTTATGTCGTAAACCCTTCGCCTTATGCGCTGGATACAGGCATACTGGTACCTTGGACGTGGGCACCGGACGAGAATACGACGTCGTCTTCTCCGGCTTGTTACTCGATTTCGGGGCGGTTGGTACGGACTTGCGTTGCCCGTACTTCTCACACGCCTTTGCTTCCGATATGAGCTCCTTGACGAACATCTTCACATTCCTCTTCAGTGATGGATCGTATTCCACCCGTTTTATTACCGTGTCCCGCAGTGCGTACGGGACTATGTTTTGACATAGAAGTTCGACTGTCTTTTTAGGGTTCTCCATGCGAAATTCTCCATATCCAACTGCGTCTAACCTTTGGAAGTAGTCGTTGACGTAATGAAGCATACGTGCTTCAGGATCAGCGATGGTGATCGGGACACGTAACCCTTTGAGGGCTCTCTCTACCACCTTTGGATCAAATCCGGAAGTTGGTACCGTTACCAGTCCGTTTATGTAGGTTTTAATGTCCTTGGACGTGAGATCATCGGCCTCTACGTTAGGTGCGATCTCGTCAAACTTTCCGAGGAACACCAACGTTGCCAGCAATCCCGCGTCTATTGACACAGTATAGGAGGCTGCCGTTAACGTAGGCAGCTCCGTACTTTTTTCTGCGACTTGTCCTTCGTACCGCTGTCTCTCGCGGATGAAAGTCGATACTGCAACCGGATCGACGGATTTCAACACCGGATGAGAAATTAGTGCAAATACCGTCACAGCCCTGACGGCTTCTTCGCCGTCTGATGCCATTCCGCCTTCTTCTTGCTTCTGGGTCGTCTCGTGGACACCACGTCGTTGGTAATACGTTCGTCCAGGTCGGCTTGGAAAGTTCGACCGGTGTGTCGTCACCATACAGCGTAGTCTTGAAGTCTTCTGGCCAGATAGAAATTTCTAGAGACGCCGACGGGAAAACGCCAGAGCACGCCTACGCAATGTGGGATACAGGCGCAAATAGAGGTCTGCGGATGTAGCCCTGTAGGACCTTATCTGAAGGGGACGTCACTTGGCTGGGAAAAGGCCTTTTTTCGTTCGCTGTTTTTTGTTCTCCTAGCATATGAGGGAATCGTGAGACGAAATGCTAGGGATGGCACCCGCGGCCGTGAAGCGAAAGGGACCTGGTGGTACTGACACCAAATCGGATCAAGCGGTATACCCAAGGAGCACCGCCCCTGATCCTCCAATTGTCTTTCTCAATCATACTGCGCGCGGTCAATCAGATACCGTAGCTTGTTCATCTACATGTGTACTGTATGAGTCGGGGTTCGCGTGTTTCACAAGAGATCTGAGCGTCTACACGTATGCCATCATGGCTCGGTCCTATCCCGTCCTACACAAGTGTAATTCCTTGACGTCCGTCCCCATGATATCAAAAATATAGATTCCCCCGTATGATACGGTACTGGACTAAATGGGTGTCATGAAAAACAGCCTTGCTTCTCAAGATTTTCTGCTTCCAACTTTTCACAATATTTGCCTAAAGGCACAGTATATCCCTAGCATGAGTAATGATTGAAATCCTGAGCTTGCGTAAGTATCTCTATTTCTGTAACTAAGGCTGTGGTGCAAGGAACGATACCTCGTTTATTGTCCGCTCGAAGCCGGATCGCCCTGAGAGGCAGACGCCGCCGTCGCGTAACGAGCGGCGTATGTGCGTGTGTTACGTGGAAACGTATGGCTGACTACGGCTATCATGACAATGGCTGTGGCGTTAGGTGAGCGGGAGCGCCGAAGTGACACTACTGAGTTACGGCTATCATGACACTCCCCCCGTCGCTGAGGCGCAATCCGCTGGTTTAATGGGTGCGGGGGGTGGTTTGTGATTTGTAGTTTTCGTGATAGGTTCGTGAATGCGAGGCGTTTCAGGGGTTTCGTTAGGATGTCGGCGAGCATGTCAGGGCTAAGGATTGGCAAATACGGATTTTGTTAGCTCGTGTGAGATGCGTGAGATAATGGTGGCGGAAGTCGATGAATTTCTGCCGTTTGGTTGGTCCTGTGTTGTTTGCGATGCGTATTGCCGCCTGGTTCTCCATGAAGAGTGGGGTGGCCTGTTTGGGGTTCATGGAGATGTCTTGGAGGATTCCTCGTGTTCATGTGGTCTGCTGTGCGGTGGAGGTTGCAGCAATGTATTCCGCCTCGCAGGTGGATAGCGCTGTTTTGGATTGTTTCATGGATCCCCGACATATGAAGGTGCCGATCAGACCATGAGATCAGACAGGAAGGGCAAACATTATTCATTACGGGAGCTACAAATCCAAGAGGGTCGTGAGATCTACTATGGGAGGAGAGGTGTTTGCGTTCGCGGACGGATTTGATTAGGGGGTTTCCCTGAGGCACGACCTTACACCAATGCTGAACGGAAACATTCCCTTCTTATGTATACGGATTCTGACAGCGTCTTCAAAGTAATAGTCCAAAATTCAATGACGACGGAGCGAAGGCTGACGATTGACTTGGAGGCAACCAGTCAGGCGTATGGCAATGGCGACATAAGCGACATCGGATGGATTCGCAGTCAGGACAACCCGGCAGATGGTCTGACGAAAAAGGGTGAGTGCTTGCCGATGAATCGGCTGATGGACGAAGGAATACTTGATGTTGCAGTACTGCAGTGGGTAATCAGAGTTGGCGGTACCAAGACAAGGAGGGAGCAGCACCTTGACTTCCGTCCTCAGAAACCCCCGAGTGTCGAACAATTCGATCGTGCAGGCTGGTCTGACCTAGCCAATTACTGAACGGGTTTTTGATACAGCCCACCTACTCATTGAAAGGGACTGTAAGTCTGCATTGTTCGAATGCAACGGGTACCACGAGCGGGAGCGAAAGGTCAAGGCTTCTGATGTGCCCCGACAGTCGCGAAAGGAGAAAGAGTGTGTGACAGCATTTAAATGGCATAGCTTTATCGGGATGGTGTATGCGAAGGGAGAGGTGAAACGTTTTGAGATTTACAACAATAAACTTGTTTTGTTTGCAAGTATTGCTTCCTCGCCTGTGCGAGAAGCTTGAATGTTCCAACCTGCGCTACTCTCGTGAGTGATCTGCTTCCGTGCAGATTAAGCGCTACTGTTTTATCGACACATAGACTTTCCGAAGCTGTGTTCCAAATTACCCTTTTTTCAAATTACCTTGATGGGAAAGGGTAGTCCTAGTGTCTAGACGACAAGCAATTTGACCTCATATGAGGCCAGCTTTTTTTGCAAAAATATATAATTTAAATCGAAACTTTAAAACATTCAGTTTGGACACCATTTCTTTAACGTATACGCGCTCGGCAATAACATATTGCAAAACATTGGGATGGTGGTTGTCAATGCACAGAGAGACTAATAATCTAATGAAGTATCAATGACGAGTTGACTTTTTAAACAGGCGTTTTGGTTTCGAAGATATCAACATAAAACGTTTTGAGGTTGGTCAAAAAAAGCTCCTTTTTGGGCATTTCAAAAATGGCTGGAGAAGACGTGCAGATCTCACCAAACTCCACCCTTCCACAACGCAGAAGTCAACTGCTGTGTCGAGAGTATCTTTTTCCATCTTGTTGAGCTAGCACAAGTCGAGAAAAATAAGTTGAAAAGTGACCTCATATGAGGTCATTTGTCACCTAGACACTAGAGCCTTACATGGGTTACAAGCTGTTGATACAATCGTGTCATTCGTCAACATTAGATGCACTGTACAAGGTTTCCATACAAGGCCTCTTTGTCCCACAAAACTTCGTTGAGGGGGAGTGGTCTACTCGTGCTCGTACTGTACCTTCAGTGATCTTTACGTGTGCAGGTGCTTCAGCACTGTGCGCCCTACTGACACTTCTTGCACTACTGCAACGGCTCTCCCTACCGACACTGTTCAGCCTACTGACACTGTTCGAAACCATCAACTGCTCGAAATAGGATAGGATACATATCGTAGAGGGTTGTCTGCAAAGCTGAAGAGAGAGAGGCACGAACACAGAGAGAGAGGCACGAACACAGAACGAAGTAAACTTCACGCTTTGGTGAGCATTCACCCCGTCATTAGCAAGACTTTGCTAAGTGCCGTGTGCGCTGCCCTCGCGCTCGTGCGCACTGTCCTCGCGCTCGTGCGCACTGTCTCTGCGCTTGTGCGCACTGTCCTCGCGCTCGTGCGCACTGTCCTCGCGCTCGTGCGCACTGTCCCTGCGCTCGTGCGCACTGTCCCTGCGCTTGTGCGCACTGTCCTCGCGCTCGTGCGCATCTCTACCGCCTTCGGCGTCTCGCCCCAAGACGCACAACACTTGCAAGTTTATAGTGCGTTCTTCTGCACTTATATCGTTTTACGTACTCCTTTTTTTTACTATCCCTACTTCGTTGTTCAACACAAATTATATCGTCATGACGGATTCTTCTTCTTCCAGGCTACAGGCCAACGCTGTGGATCAAGTCAAGAAAGAGTTGGACAAGGTTGATCGGAGCCATCCGATGATGGATAACATTTGCACTGAGGTTCTTGAGGCCCTGGAACAACCTGTTCCTGAGATTGTTCTTTTCTTACTGGATCGTATTACTCCTGAAGTGTTAATAAACCCTGCTTCAATGGAGAAAAGGCAGATTTTCCATGCACTGAGAAAACTACTGGAATTTGCTGGAACTACGGTTGGCTATGCTCCAGGTATACCGATGCCAAACAAAATATCGTCTGCTCTGTACGCTGGGTATCCTGAATTGCTCGAACAAGCGAACGATATGCTCAGCAACTATAAAACCTACGGCACGATTTACAAAGTTGTGACTCCGAACGAAGGTTCCCCTGCCCCCTTATCTCCTGCTCCTGGTTCGATGACATACCGGCCAAGGTTAGTGGACGCAGACCGCCGTAAAGACAGAAGTGATTCTGAAAAAGAAGAACCTGGCAATCGGCAAAATTATGCGTCTGGTCCTGATCATGATCGCTCGAAGCTGACACAAACTTATTCCAATCTCGCAAAGAACAGGCAGGCTGTTGCGAATGAATTTAACCAAAGGGATTCTAAGTTTTCGGGTTCCCCAGGCACTGGTCTCGCTTTGCACTTGGTCAAACGGAAGTTCAACGAACTGATATTCGAACAAGAAATCCCACAGTCTCAGACAGTACAGTTAATGCACAACTGCCTTTCTGCCATTGCCAACGAGTATTTCTATTCCAACGTTCGTGACGTCGCCAAGACGACTGACGAGGCATTCAAAGACCTCGAGAACCGCTTCAACTCCAAGCAACATCATTCTCAGGCCCTTGCTTACCTTCGTCGTCTATCTTTTGAAGGTATCAAAAACGAAAAGAGTTGCTCCAACCTTGAAGCCCTTTCTATTGCGCATTCTCGAATTATCGAGTATATCCCTCATTGTGGTCCATCGTATCAGGGTGAGCATCAAGACGGTCACATGTCCGAGTTCCTGGCATCTATGGTTGACGGCCAAGATTGGGCAGAAAACGTTCTGACCGCCCGCATAACTGCCACCGGTTCGTTGAATGGAATGGACTACAATTCTTTCTATGCTATGCTTATCTCCGCACTTACTCTCCTCGAAAACCGCAAGAACCATTCGTCTACGTCCGGAACGGAGTCTCCATCAATTTTTTATGGAGAAAGGTACGGAAACACCCCCTTCTACAAGAAAAGTTCACACGGAAACCCACGAGCACGCTACCGCCGTTCACTAGCTCAGTTGATCGCCCTCAAGAACAGGACCCGGTGCCTCTGTTGCAATGCACTCGGACATTGGGAGAACGAATGCCCTCAACGTGGCTCAACCATGACCTCCATCATTCGATCACGCATCAAGGACAGGGGTAGAAGCGACAAGGCCGTTGCTGAGGTATTGTATGCCCTTGTAAAAGGCGATGACAACTTCGAGGAGTACATGGAAGCCGTGGGAACTGTTGAAGAGACAGAAGACAACTCCGCGAATGCATTCGAAACACTGTTCAATGAGACGAACCCAGATGAAGACATCATCACAGAGCTCAAGAATACATTCGACGAGCTGGTCACTTCCGACAGCAATGAGACTGAGACAGAAAATGGTAATCCGGGTTTTTGAGTGCCAGTGCATACTTTGTGGATAATGCACTGGCTTCAATGCTTCCACTACCTCCCAGTCCAACGAAATGGGAATCAGTTGGGAAGAAGAAGCCTTTTATTTGGAGAATGACCTGTGGTAGACGTCGCAAAATCGGGCGACTCAAATGGCGCTCCGGTTCAGAACGGCTGTACATACCAGTGAAACTCCACTATCTCACTGAACATTTACGCCACACTAGACGACATTCTGTTGGACGCCCTCCGGACTTCGAAGGGGCTTGTCTTGATATTGGCTCTCCTCGGTCACTCATTGGTCTCAGTCAAGCCCGAGCGTATTGTCGAGCACTTGGAATTTCCCTTCAGTTGTCACCCTCGCAGACTACCTTCCGTTTTGGCACCTACCCCTCTCGATCCATAGGAAGACTCAAGGTCCTTATCCCTACCCGGCAGGGAATGTTGAAAGTTTATGTAGATGTTGTACCTGAGAATATACCTCTACTCATCGGTTTGGATACGATGTTTGCACATTCCCTACAACCGTTGGCGATTGACATGAAGCTGCAGTGTGTGAAGCACAATTGGACAACACCCATCGAATTGCGACACGGACACCTCTATCTCTATTGGAAACCCAACCTTATGACTATATTCTACACAACAAGACAGCTAGAGCGACTTCATCGTCACTTGCTTCACCCTTCTTCCCGAAAGCTGTATGAACTGCTGCGCCGTGCCGAACCTGAAAAGTTGCCTGCGGATACACTGAGCATCTTGCAGAAGATATCAAGGTCATGTGAGACTTGCAATTTGTACTCTCCCAGACAAATCTCTTTCCAGATCAGAAGTACAGATCAGATCAAGTTCAACCACAAAGTCATACTGGACATCATGTTTTTGAAGGACAAGAAGAATCGCCCTCGCCCTGTGCTTCATATAATTGATGCTGGTACACGGTTCAGTTCAGCTTCTTTCCTCAAAGACAGCTCCACAAACACCGTTTGGAATACGTTTGTAAAGATCTGGTCCTCGATGTATGTCGGATTTCCCGAGTGTTTGCTTACTGATCAAGGTTCTGTATTCCTTTCAAAAGAATGGGCATACAAATTGCGAGACTTCAGAGATCAAACTACGTCATACGGGTACAGAGAGCCACAACTCTTTGGGAATAGGGGAGAAATACCACTCAACTTTAAGAACGATCTACCAAAAGGTTCGCTGTGACCACCGTGATCTAACAGAAGATATTCTTCTTGCCAAATCTGTGCAGGCTATGAACGAGACAGTAGGACCTCATGGGCTAGTCCCTTCACTTCTCGTGTTCGGAATTCTACCAAATTTACCATCTGTTTCCTCGAGAGAATTCCCAAATCAGAGGGAAAGACTGAGAGCTGCGGCGACCGCTCGTGCTGAGTACGAGAGGATTATTTCCAGGATGCAAGTCCGACGAGGAATCCGATCTATCCCTCCCCCAGCTGCCGACCGCAAGTACAATCCTGGTGACTTTGCATACGTCTATCGCGAAGGATTGAGGCATTACACGGGTCCTCATCTCATTGCTTCGGTTGACGACAAATGCGTTCGTTTGTATCTTGGAGAGCGTACTGGACCAAGATCATTCAATGTGTCCCAACTCAGACCTGCCCCAGTCACAAGACATCCGACCTACGATGAACAACTCATGGAACTTGATGATGGACCACCAACTGTCCTGCACACCGAAATACTACACCCCAAAGACCCTCGTGCAGGACTTTTTGATGCAGCCAAGAGGAAGGAGATATTAGGATTAGTCGAGCGCGGCACATTCAAGTTGGTACTGGAAGAAGAAGCTGGTCTGAATCCTAACTTGATACCCTCCCGTTACGTTCTAGCGATCAAGCATTCCAGCGACGCCTCCACAGTCTACAAAGCTCGACTTGTACTTGGTGGTCATCGAGACAAGGAGAAACGGTCAGTGGTACACAACACGTACAACTTGAAACAATCGTCCATCCGGATCATTCTAGCACTTGCTACCATACTAGGTTTTGATGTGTGGTCTCTGGACGTAAAGCAAGCCTACCTTCAAGCTGCATCCAAGCTACGTCGAAAACTTTTCGTCAAACCTGAATCTATCGAACTCAAACCAGGCGAGCTTTTACAAGTTGTCAAACCCTTGTATGGGCTAACAGAGAGCGGAGACTACTGGTGCGAGACGAATCACAGGTTCCACGTGGACAAATTACGCATGAAGCAATCAACTGGAGACTTTGCTCTATTCTTCCGCCGCGCCATGAACAAGTTGATTTCGATCTCCGGCTCGTACGTGGATGACGTATTGCAGACTGGAACGCAGGAGGAGAAGAAGCGGATACAAGAAGAGTTCCGAAAGGTTTTTGATGTGAAGATTTCCCATGCCAAGAAATTCATGTACACCGGACTTGAATGTGACACTGGCGATAAGACTGAACGCAAGCTTTCTCAACAGCACTACATCTCTAGGCTGCATTTTCTCAAGAAGGATTCTTCTTTTCCGGAATTTAGCTC